CTGCCTTTTTTCAGGCTGTCATCCAGCTACAGAGAGAAACGTTACTGGTGGTGGTGGTGATCAATTTCTCAGGTCTTGGGAAACATTCTCACAAATGTACACAGAACCTGAAATTATGATACTTTGTATAGCTTCTGTCTCACAGATAATTTTGTTTCACATGCTTTGCTCTTAGCTCACACTTCAGGTATTTCAAGAGTCAGTGCTGCAATTTCACTCCTAACTGTTAGGATGCTCCATCAAATTATAGCATATTATTCCCAGGATTATCCTATCCTGGAAGCACAAAAACATAATTGCTCCTATTACTTACAATGTGATTAATAATATTTTTTATATTCCTCTACTCCATAAGAAATTATGCATCTTGAAAACTACTTGAACTCTGTCTAGAATTTTCACTGGCACTGAAGGGACACCAAACACATCATATATCTCACATTTTAAAAACCTTATTGACATGGCACCAAGTCATGCTGACCAACTTTATTCATTTATATGATAAGTCTAAGAATTATATTCTTACATATCTTTAAGGAATTTAAAAAATGTTGTTCCATTCTATAAACAAGGTTTTATGGAAATACAATATTCTACAGGAGGGAAAAAACCCAAAACATCTTTTTATACAAGCAAACTATAAAACATGGATATTTGGACATTGTTTTATATTTAAAGAACTATAATACTTAACTATCTCCATTTGATGACAACTGATGAAAAGTTAAAAGTCAAAGAATGTATCATGAAGTATTCGTTTTCCACACTCTAGAATCCCTGTAGAACAAAATATACGTATACAGGAACACCTAGAGCAACAAAACAGGATGTTTTCAAAAAAATTAGCCTAAATTTACATCTATTTGTGTATTAACTAGCAACAGAAGTATTTTTCAGATATAAATACAGAGGCAATGTAGATTTTACAGCCTTTTGCATTACTAGAAGCCGCACATATGCTAAACATCACATAAAAAGAAGAGCACCCATTAGCTTGCACCTAATCACCCAGCAAAGCTGGAAGCAGCAGAACTCAGGTGCTGTGCTGAAAGACACCCCCTGGTTGGTGCTTAAGGAAGCATCTTAGCTACTGGTGAACGAGAGAACCTTCATGGAGAAACTTCCATTGCTGGAAAGCCAAAATGATGAGCTCCTCTCCTCTCCTGACCTCCCTGCATGAAAGGGATACACCTGAACAGTTAACAACCAGCTCTCCTCAGGCAGAGCCACACAACTCTAAAACACACAGTGGTAGGAGGGATCACGCAATCACAGCCACCCCCCGGTCACTCTCTCAGTCAAATCTTGCTTCTCTCCACTTAAAAAATTCCATACCATGGTTAAAACTTAATGGTATTTTTGTACCTTCAGGCTGCCAATAACTTTGACACTCCACACTCTAACAATGCCAACTTTCATGATGATGAAATAACTCAACATTGTCTTAGTAGCAGTAATCATATTAGTAGGAATAATAATAACAAAGTAGCCAATTTAAGAGTGTGTCAATGCTGAAGACACAGGACTGAATGTAAAGGTGCTTCCATTTGGCTATTTTTAAATCAGGTGAAATCAGGCAAGGAGCAGACAATTACTGTCCTGTGTTTAGTATACTGTAATCCCCCAACTATTCAGCTTGGTTATATTTCCCATACTGCAATAATGTTTGCAGTCTCATCTTGCTTATCACCACTCCTAGCTTTCCCCCCCCCTTTTTAAATATATTTTAAAAACTTGTAGTCATTCAAAAATATATTCATACTTCCCCTTAACCCACTTCCAGAGTCTGAACCTCTGACCTTACCCAAACAAGAAACACTAATGCCTTTTATTTCATAGTCTATACATAATGTTATTCATTACTTATTTTCATATATTCATTTTGCTTGAAGGTGTAAATGTTATAGCATTTTGAAACAGGGTGGTGTTACCTCTTTTCTCCTACTTTTTCTGAGACTCAGATTCTATAAAGTTTGTTTGCTTGCTCCTAAATATCAACTAAGACTTAAATATTCTTGCAGTGGATTCTTGCAACTACAAGGCATCACAGAAATGTTTTGTGAAAAGCAAACACCAAAGATATCACTGACTTTCATTTCGATTCCCCATCTATAACAGGGTTGGGTTTATTTTCAATACAAAATCTGAGAATCAGATCAACATTAAAGAGGTATTAAACCATGGAAGAACCCATAAAGATAACTTTTAATTAGTAAGAGGAAAAAAAATCTTTTCTGTTGCATTCCCCAGGAAATTGTTGGGAAAAAATAGGCTGGCCATTCAAATTTTGTCACACTACAGATACTCTTCCAAAAAATGTACCATCATGCAATACATCATATTTTACTAGACACTGCTTCCATAGAAATACACACTGCCAGTACTCTATCAAAACTTGTATTTCAGAGCAAATCTTTATTATGTATCCTATTTCAGGGCAGTATTTTTTATAATTTCTAGCAGAATACCATTCAAACAGCTAGGCTATCATATTAAACCATCTACAGCAGAGCATTTCAGCCCAGCCTTGTACAAAGAAAACCAGCATGAACCTCTTCATTAGAAAATACAAGATTCTATTTGAAGTAAGAAACCACAACAGGGAAGACAGTGACAAAAATCTGCCATCTGCACTACATATGATGTAGACCTAAAAACAATGACTGAAAAATTTATTGTCACTATAAAGACAGTACTAACAGCCCAGTAAAATAAGGAAGGGCTGATAATCTTTCTGCCATTAGATGCACTAAGTATATATATATATGTATATGTGTGTGTATATATATATGTATATGTATGTATGTTCTTGGATATAAATACTTCAGCACTTTAAATCTGCAATAATATTCACTTTAATTGAGGCAAGACTAAGCAGAACTACTGCACTATCTGAGCTTTCCTTTCTAAAACAGCAGCAAACTGCCCCCAACAGCCAACCTTACCCTTGCTGTAGGAACTTGACCAAGGTCATAGAGTAAATCATCACTGTCACAAGCCTGTGACCCCAAATCCTGGCAACACCATGCTGCCTCTCAACAGGCAGTCCAGAAGGAAGATACTCTGCACTGCACTACCCATCTTCCAGCTCACCCAGCACTTCTCATGCAGCCTAAAACTGCACCAAACAACATTCACTTCTACAAGCAGAGAGACAGAAGTATAGAATCACACATCAGTGTAAAGCCTCAAACATTAATTGCATATATAAAAGGATTGCTAAAACACCAAATCAACGTTAAGAACTTGACTTTTTTTTTTTAATTTGTGTTCCTGTACTGCCACCTAAAGATCAGAGTGAAAAACAGGAACAGTAGTGGACAACATGACTTTTATCTGCATTCCTGGAAGAGAACAGTAAGTTTCTGATACCTCACTTTGAAAAAAGACCACACCAGATTCAACCAGATCAAAACCAGATTGATAACACAGTTTTATTTCACATCACAGTTCAGCAGTACTTTACTAATTGCCTGATTTCTATACATTTTTAAAAAAATCTCTGCATTTATGTATAGATATCCTTTAATTAGACAAATGTCAGCTTGAATAGTCTTAATCTATAAACTCTGTCTAACCACAGCATATTTTGCAAATGAAGAGAGACTGGTAGAAATATATTTTTTACTTCCTTATTTACTTTTTTAAACTTTTAACTGCTATCACTATGTAGGAAAAAAAAACCCTACACACAAAATTAATTACCACAAATTAATAACCTCTTGTGATATAACAAGCTGGTAATACCATTCTTTCTCCCAACAAAACACACCTGGTTACACACCTACATTCAAACACCTCAGATTCACTTTTATTCCACCTGTTGCTGCACTCAGCCTGTCCTCTGAAGTCTGCAGCCTCTCACAACTTGAGGCAGAAAATGTTCAGTCACCACCCTGAAGGGCTCTGATGTCACAAGTCAGACTTAACAAACATAATAGCTAAAAATCTTTTGAGCTTGGTGTTAATTTGGGTTTTGTTGGAGGAGTTTTTGTTGGGTTTTTGGTTTGGTTGGGGTTTTTTTTCAATATGCTGAAGATGCAAGACACATCTTATAAGATGCAAGCATCACCTGGAAGAGATTGTCAATTTTTTCTTTGATTAAATGAGACCCATATTCTCATGCCTGTAAAGGACATGAAGCAAACCACCTGGACTGTTTCTACCAACAAAACTTCAAATATTTTCAAAATAACCCCTTCTCCACAAACACCCCCCCCCCAAAGAAAACCCCCACAAAAAACAACAAAAATCAAACGAAAGCAAAAACCTAAAAAAGGAAGGTTAGCGGTATCGAATTTTCTCCTGTCTCTTCTTCATGTCTCGGCAACTACACAGGGGTTTGGCTCATCTAGCAGTATGTTTCAGGTACTAATAAATACATGTTCCTTTAACAGCTCGGCCACAACCCAGCTTGCTGGGAAACCGCTCTAGTTTAAAATCCCCTTTCGTTCGTTTCCTTCTAAACAAACACAGCAAGTTACCATGTGTTTGTCAGTTTCCACTTGCGGCAACCGACACGCGGGAGGAAGGCAGGCATTAATTTACAGCATGTCTCCAAGCCACATGCTCTTTAGGGGGATAAACCCGGCCTGGCGACACGGAGCTCAGGAGGGCCGGTGCCTCGGTGCGGGCACAGCTGCCCCCGGCCCCGAGCGGAGCCCGGACCCTCCCGGCTCAGCGGGAACACTGCACGGAGCGGCGGCACCGCACCGAGCCACGGCGGCACTGCCGCCTCCCGCCAGCCCGGGAAACCTCTCCAGGAACAGCAGCGCCCGGGAAGAGGCGACATCCTCAAAACAGCCGCTTTAAAAAAAAAAAAAAAAAAAAGCCCCCAGTTAAAAACAGCAGCAGGAAGCTGCAAGCCCCGCACTTCAGCCAGCACACAGCCGCGGGACTCGGGTCAGGGCGCACTCCCGGCCCGCGGGCACGGCACGGCGCCGCCCCGCCCCGGCGGAAGGGGCGGCGCTGGCTGCGGAACGGCGCGTTCCCGCCGGTACCTGCGCAGGCAGCGCTCGCACGCGCTGCCCAGCTGCTGCTTGCTGAGGACGTAGGCGAAGGGCACGTCGCGGTAGAGCAGCTCTCCGGGCCGCACGCTCCGGTGGGAGCGGAGGCCGCTGCCCTTGCCCGGGCTGTGGAACCGCTCCAGCGCCGCCGGCTCCATCCTGCCACGCGCGCCGCCACCGGAGAGGAGTGCGCGGCCGCCCCGCCCGCCGGCACGTGACCGGGCGCGGCCGCCGCCATCTTAAATCAGGGCAAGGGCGGAGGCGGCCCCGCCGGCGGGCAGGAGCCCGGCCCCCAGGGATGGAGCCGGGGCTGCGGCACGCCCGTGTCCTGAGCCGGCACAGCCGCACTGAGAGGCGCAGGCAGCCCTTTGCCTGAAGAGGCAGCTAATAATGCATATCACGGAATCCCAGGGTGGGTCAGGGTAGAAGGGACTACAGTGCGTCATCTGGTGGAACCTCCCTGCTCGAGCAGGGCCATCTCAGAGCGCATTGCGCAGGAATGCATCCAGAGGGATCTTGTACATTCCCAGTAAGGGGGACTCCACAGCCTCCCTGGACTATCTTCTGTGCTCAGTCACCTGCACAGTAATGAAGCTTTTCTTCATGTTCAGGTGGAACTTCTGTGCATCAGTTTCTGCCCCTTGCCTCTCCTGTCCTATTGCTTGGCACCACTGAGTACAGCCTGGCTCCCTCACTTGAGATACTTACATCCAAAATATTAAACAGTTTAGTTAACAAAGGAAGGGACGTGATAATGATTCAGTCAGAAGACATCCCCAAAAAGGACATTATATTTGTGAGCTAGCATCTGGATGTATTTCTGGATCTCACTGTGGTCTGAATACAGACTGGGCCAGTAGCTGCACCTACTACGCTCTGGTGTTGCTCACTGAAAATGCACCCCATACCCCAGATTACTTTTTGTCAAAAGCCACGAGTTAGAGACACCAGATAAATGACAACAGAAAAAGCAAAACGTGCAGAATTAAATATTAACCTGAAATGCGGGTGCACAAAACCTGTGAAATAAGTGCCTTCTGCATGGGTCTGCATAACTTTCATTCATTTATGAGATTATACTCATGATGCAGGCTAAATGTGCTAAACTGCAGATCGACTTTGTCTGGTTTTCCTTGTCACGCCTGTAGAGGGAGGTAGGGCTTGTGTTTTGGAAAGGAGTCTTAATTCATGCTGTCAAACACTGAGACATAGACCTAATAGTTCTGCCAAGCAGCTGTGCTAAAACCACTCAGTTTTGTTCTCAGTAACTATTATTTCAGTCCGCAGTTGTTATCATCCAAGTTGCAACAAGGTAATAAGGAATGGCAATATGCATATCTAAAACAGTGCTATTAGGAAGAACCAAGGTACCTAAAGCCAGAGGATTCTCACAAAAAATATTTTTTGGCATTTGCTTAATGCTGCAATGATGTAATTCATTACCAAGAGAACTGACAGCAATCTAGCTGTTAGTGAAATCATTATGCCTGTTACTATGCTTATCTTTAGCTCTTTTAGCAAATTTTTAAAATGTGTTAAATTACAGTGATACTCTGAGTTTCTCAAGAATTAACCTTAGCAGTTATTAAAATATTAGGCAACTAGCTCCATATTTGGCCTGTATGCTTTACTTCTTCACCTATTAAATGTTCCACATTTTCCTGTCTATGCTATGTTTTAGTTTCTAAGCACGCATCACCCAGAACCTGTACCAAAAACAAGCCCAGTAATAACAGAAGTTAACATCTGCCTCTATTAGTGGATAAATTTAAGTAATGAATGGTCAAACAAAAAGCACGAACTGAAAGGCCTACCCATGAACTGCAAAAAGCACACTCAGGGAAGAGCTAATATAAATATACAATACCAGATGTAATTTTCATTATTTTCTGGTTTTTTACTTGGCAGGTTTTCTCACTTGTATGTCCAGTAACACAAAAAAAACCCTTGCAAAGTACAAAAAACACATCTGAGGGAATGCCAGTCTTCTGTCTCACTGACACACAAACAATATGAAAATCACAACCTTGAACAGCCCAGCTACTCTAGGAAGATTTAAAGTATGAATATCTGAAGATGGGACTTCCATCAGCTTGGCATAGGCTGTACAGGAAATAAGCTACAGAAACTTGAAAACAGCTTTTAGTTGACATTGCATTTCAAGTGATATGAAAACATAATTGCAGTAATAGAGATTTTCTGTGTAGATAAGCTTTCAAACACAGCATTGAACATCTTAATGCAGTGTCGGATATTTGGACTTCTGTGTGAAGGGCCTGAAGAACTTATTGTGGATATCTATGTCTACAGGTTAGTGACAAATCTGCCTAGGAAGGCCATTCAACAATCTTTGAGCAATGGAGATCAATGGAATGCCCAACTTGGATGTTTTTGGAGTCATCAGTCTGAATTTTCTCGAAAGCATAATGATAGTAGGGCTGCATATCCCAGTAAGTGCTTATTTAGCCCAAGAATATATTTAGCTGAATTTCATCCCTGTTATCAGCATGGTATTTTTATATGACCAAGTCATACACGGACCTAAACAGGTCAGACTTCTCAGCAGCTGTTTGAAGTGCATGACACATTCTGGATGGAAGAAGCTGTCAAGGAGCGTAATGAGGGCACTTTTGAAGGAAATATCACTTAATTGTGGCTGATGCTGCTGAATTAGTCATACATCCTTACTGCCAGGACACACCATCATGAAGCTTCAGCTCTTCTATCTCAGGACAGTGTGTTTTACAACGTGAATTTAGAGAAACAGCTGCAGTAATGAAATAATTCAAATTCTGCTCCCCACTCATAAATGTGCAATAGCCATTGCAAACAACACAGCACAAAATGGATTTTTTTTTTCTGGGACCAAAATATGGCTCAAAACACAAAATGTTAAATTTTGGATTGTACAAAACCTACTGTGTCACTAACAGCATAGAATAGCTATCAATTAGTTGAAAGCGTGTAAGGACAGAAAAATCTTCTGTGAACACGTATCTCTTGAAGAGGTCTCTTCACTTTCAGTGTTGGTGTGCTAGTGAAAAATTGATTCTAGAATGTTAAATTAAAAATCACTGGAGAAGCGTTTTAAGCACAAATTCATAATAAATTTCATATAGATTTCATCTGTTAATTTTTTTTACTGGGAAGTTTACCTAACCATTCTACTTTATTTGTATCTTCCCTGCCCCAAACATGTCAATTTCCTTCAAATGACAGAAGCAAGCTCAGGAAGTTCTGAGCTGTTTGTTTATTTGGGGTCGTATCAATAGGATCAACCACATCAGTGCCTAAAGACTTACATTATGAGTAATCGACTCTTTCATTTGGCATATCTGAACTACTCCTAATTTCCCTTGGGCTTCCTGTATGTTGTGTTCTCTCTGCTGGGGACAGTCAGTTTGCCTATTTTTAGCAGTGACAAGTGAAACAGCCCACACAAGGAAAGATGCAATAGCTGTTAAACAAGGATATGACGTGAGCAAATCAGCATCTCCCACTGACTTATCCTTTCTGTAAAAGTTACTTGTTATTTCCTTTTTCTCAACATCTACAGAAGAAAGGTGTGGCTTTGCTAATTAACGTCTTACAAAGCTCAGGTCAGAGTTTTCAATCTGCAGCCCTACAGATTGTGTTCAGTCTGACAAAACAATTAATTCAACATGCTTCTCAGGAAGTCTGTTTCTTCCTATCACATTTCCACATCCTAAACGACACCACACAATCTGTTTCTCAAGTTTCATGCTGATATTTCCATCAACATTATCATTAGCCTGTAAGGCTGAGCTCTAATTATTAAAATGTCCAATGCTGAACAGGTTTACAGCCAGTACGGATACATTCCACCTTAACAACCCCTTATCACAGCATCTACTAGATTAATTACTGCAAGGTCACAAACACTTCTTCTAGATCAAAAGTGAGCTGACTATAGAGTTCAATTTAACTGACCTAATTCCAAGCAGCAAAATTTCTCATTAACTGGACCAAGTTTGTTTCTGTCTCTATTTGTGTTTGCTATGATTTAAATATAGGTAAGTAGGAAGAGCTTAGGCAATTGCTAGCACAGTCATAATTTTATTTCCCAGACATATGGCACAAGTGATGAGGGCCACTAGAAAAGACTTGGCATCTCTAAAGTTGCAATTGATATATCAGCTATGATATACTGGTGCTTTAATAGGGAATGCCAAACACCATTTTTGGGCAGCTCCTCAAAAAAACTGGAAGAGTGAGAGCAACACTTAAAAGTGTTCTACTAGAGAGTGCATCACATGTGGTTCATCTTTCAGAGGTTCACGTATTAAATCAGTCTTGAAGAAAAAAAGTTACGCAAAGGAAACAAATACAAATAGTACACCATTGGTTAAAAATTGTCATCTGATTGCAGGGATTCCATACTGTTGTTTCCTTATCACAAAAGTTTCATACCTTCTTTTCTCTTGAGCTGCTCCTCCAAGCACTGACTCTTTTCTTCTTCACAAAACAGCCAACTGACTCCAGTTCCTTCTCAACCAGCCGCCCCACTCTTTCATAGCACTCTTCTTCTTATCGGTTACAACTGTGGCCTGTTAAAGTCAGGCCTGTTCCTAATCTTTGATAACTGGCCCAGCTGCAACTCCTTAGGGGTAAGAATACTTTCTACATTATTTTCTTATATTCTATCCCCCTACAAAAAATGGTAACAGAAATGTATGACAAGTCTTTATGTACAGTTTAAATTTTGAAAGTGAAGTGAAAGTTCAACATTATCCTACAAAAGCTAAAATCCTGCAACTGTAGGAATTACTGAGTGGATAGCATAAATTAATCAAATATACAGACCTACCTAATTTTCACTCCCTGTGTATTTATTCATATACAATAGCCGTTTTCACATTTTCAATCTTTTCCATGAATACTAAAATCACTTTTATAATGGCAGGCATTTCTCTTTTCATTTCACGTTTGTGATCAGGGCTAAACATTCTTTACACTTAGCCTTAATGGTGCATTTCTGTTGAGCAGTAAATCTCATTTCAAGTCCCCAGTTATGCAATATTCCTTCCACTTACAGACTCCTGCTGCTAGTCTGTATTGGATGATTAAGTGCAGCTTTGCAACAGTATCAAAATAAAACAAATTTCTTTTTCTCAGTTCGTGTTTGAAATGTTATCAG